GGTTACGCCAGCAGCGGAGCGGCTGCTCATATTTATGTATTAGTACTTAGCGAGAGAGCCTTATGCACATGTGTATATATGTTTGGCATAAGCGGTCAGCGTGGGAATGCTGACTTAGCGATCCTGGCATAACTCATAAGTGGCGGATCATATTGCGCACTCACTTGAGTTTATTTATTTGCATTTATTGCAACAATGTATTGCTGCTATGTACAGTATGCCTTCGCTACATGTTTCCACATACATATGTGCATACTACACAAGCACACCAAATAATAAGTTCGCCACGTTACCGACTTTATTTAGTGGTGATCTGCGCTGCCGTGAGTGATTAATCAGCATATTTCCGGCTTGTAACTCGGCATGTAAGTGTTGAAAGTGCGCATATATGTATAGAGTTACATGCATTGACGTTCTGTAATTCTGAACACTTGTGTTTGAGTTCAGTTATCCCGACAGCCAATATTCTCATATCACTCCAATATGGCTGCAAGTCGTAATATATGATGATGGTCCAATCTGAAATTGCCATTCTAGAGTTCCCGATTCTTTCATAGAATATTCCTGTGAAATAAGTTTGTTCCGCCAACCACAATTCCTCCCAAGGATAAGTCCTGGAGTTTTAGTTTTAAATTATTTTGAATGATTTTATTAGAACTTGATATTTTGGTTTTTATCTTGGTGCGGCCATGGTGCCGCTCCAGGGTTCAACAGTTGGTTTATAGGTGCAGCTATGATACCGCTCCAAGGCTCCAAGAGTTAGTGATCTTACAGTATTCCTTAAGTTATAATATAAGCTAGGTCTCGGAGCTGCGCTGCTCACAGGCGGCGGCAGAGAGACGGTTATGTATAAGTATTCTTATGTATAAGTAAATGTACTTATGTACATTGGCTATGCGCTCACGAGTGGAGGCGCGAGGGGGTATGCGCGTGTAGTCCATTCGATGCAAATATGCCGACACTAGCACTTTCTGAGTGCAGGCTAAGCCTTAGCGATCGGTTCATATTTCGGCCACTTATGGTTTATGACCGGGACTTTGATTTGTATAAACACTGCAACATTGTATTACAGTGCGCACTCTTTAAGTACTCTGGGTACAGTGCGTATTCAATATGTGTGCATACTACATCTCCCTCCTTTTGAAAAATAACGTAATATAATGAAGTTATTTTATACTAATTTTTATAATTAATGTTTATAATTAATACACTTTTAATGGGTTTTTGCTATTTTTTTTTTTTTTTAGTTTTTGTTTTGTTTTTGTTTTTTTTTTTTTTTTTTTGTGTATTGTGTAAGTGTATTAATGTGTGGATATGAGTGTGTATTTATGAGTGTGTATTTATGAGTGTGTATGGCCATACTAAATGCAAATTATGAAATGAAGATTTTTAACCTATCCTTATGAACTGTTTGAGTCTTACGTTTATCATTTGATATGACTATATTATCCCTATCACCTATTTCCGTTACTACGTAAGGACCGGTGTATTTAACATCTAGCTTATGACCTGTTTCGTTTTTTAACAAAACCTGGTCGCCTACTGATATATCTATATCATTAACCCTATGGTCGTACAATAATTTATTCCTATTCTTATTTGATTCTAGCATTACTCTAGCTCTTTTATAAGCTAGTTCTAACCTATACTTAGATTCCTTAGCATAGTCGTCTATATTATAAAGCGGTTCTACACTATCTATGCTATTGAAGTGTTTCGGTAAATTACTTGTTTTACCGAACACTAACTCATATGGACAATATGTATGTGCCATAGAGGGGGTCGTGTTGAAACAGAAGACAAAATATTGAAGCCATACGTCCCAATCAGTTTTATCAACCGATATGTAGGATCGTATGTACTCATTGAAAGTTCTGTGACTTCTTTCTATTGTTCCAACGGTCTGGTGGTGATGTGCTGTTGATGTGATATTCTTGATATTCATATATCTGCACAAATCATCTATGATTGAATTCTTATATTCGGTTCCCATGTCCGTAATGAACGTCTTCATTGGACCGTACTTCAAAATAAAAGATTCAAATATAGCTTTTGCTATGGTATTAGCATTTTTATTTGGAATCGGTATTGCAACTAAATATTTCGTTAGATCACATATTAATGTGACTGCATACTCGTTACCATTTTCAGATTTTGGTAGTGGTCCGATGGTATCCACTATCACTCTGTCAAATGCATGTGTTGGGGTGTCTGTAATTGTAAAAGGGGTCTTTGTATGCTTAGTTATTTTAGCTTTTTGGCATTTTGGACATTTCCTTATGTACTCTTTTATGTCTTTGGACATATTTTTCCAGTAGTAGTGTCTCTGGACCTTGGCCAAGGTTTTTGTAATGCCTGTGTGACCTCCTTGTATTGGATCATCATGTAGCGTAGACAAAATAGCTTCTTTCTCTGTATCTTTTGATACTAGGGTCACCGGGTTGAGTAGCGCTACTCTTAATGTTTTCAGTATCTTATTGCCCATTAATTTGAAATTATCTATTGATATTGTGTCAAAGATATTTTCCCACGGTGCCACTTTGAGTTGGCTGATACTATGTATACCGGCTTGCATTTCAAGCCTTTGGAAAAATTGACCTAAGTCGATAACTCCATTAGTATATAGATCGCTAACTTCATATCTTGCAATAATTTTCTTGCCATGTTTAAATAAACACAACATATCTTTTATATGCAAGGTCACTACTTTACGTACTTCGTCATTGTTTATGACGTCGTAAACGTTGGGCTTAGAAGCTTTACTCAGAGATTGCGTTGGCAATTCTTTTTCTTGATGTTCCGCGCGGAATTTTTGTCTACTTTGATATCTTGTAGTGACTTTATTTATCGATCCTGTGATTTGTTGTAATTCTTTGATGGTTATTCTTGATAACGCATCAGCTACGTAATTGTCTTTGCCCTTCAGGTATTCTACCGTAAAATCGAATTCCTCTAATTCAAGCCTCATACGTGTCAATTTGGAACTTGGATTTACCATTGAGAACAAGTAAGTTAATGGTCTATGATCTGTTTTTATTGTAAAATGGTTGCCATAAATATATGGTCGAAAATGTTTTATAGCCCAGTGAATAGCAGCTAATTCCTGCTCAGTAGTACTCTTGTTACTCTCTCCTTTAGTAAAGGATCTTGATGCGTAAGCAATTGGAAGTTGGAGTCCATTATGGTTTTGAGTTAAAACCGCTCCACACGCTTGTTTGCTTGCATCAGTTATTATGCAGAATTCTTTAGAAAAATCTGGATATTGTAACAAGGTTGGATTTATGAGTGCCGTTTTAAGATGATCGAAGGCATTCTGGCATTCCGATGTCCATTCGAATTTTACATCTTTTTTGCATAACCTAGTTATGTGACGAGAATAATCGGCAAAATTTTTTATAAAGCGCCTATAGTAATTGCAAAATGCAACGAATCGTCTAGCGCTGTCCGCGTCATGCGGGACTGGATAGTTTTTTATTACGTCATATTTTTTGTCATCAGGCAAGATTCCTTTATCAGTGCATTTATGTCCCAAAAATGTGACTTCATGCATGAAAAATGAACATTTTTCAGGATGTAACTTTAGGTTGTGTTTCCTACATGTCTCAAAAACATCAGTTAGGTTCTTGAGCATGTGTTTTTCGGAACATCCTATGACTATTAAGTCATCCATATAAAGAAATGCTTGAGACGGTTCTAATCCCGAGAAAGCAATAGTCATCATTCTCTGGAATGAATTTGGGGCTATTTTCAAGCCAAATGGTAATCGCGTGAAGCGATAGGAGCCATTGCTCGTTGAAAATGACGTTATATCCCTGGAACTTTTTTCAAGTTCAATTTGGTGGAAACCAGACATTAAGTCTAGGCATGAAAAATATTTAGCTCTACCTAGCTGATCTAGAATGTCATCAATTCTAGGTAAAGGGAATTTATCTGACAATAGTTTTTTATTGATTTGACGATAGTCAATTACTAATCGCCATTTCTTCTTGTCAGAGTCCGGGAGGGACTTCTTCGGAACTAATAAGAGTGGGCTATTGTAAGGGGAGACTGATGGTTCGACTATCTTGTCGTCTATCAGCTTTTGTACTTGGGCTTGAATTTCTTGCACTTGGCTGTGCGGACTTCTGTAATTTTTTTTATATATACGGGCTCGTCATCCTTTAGTCTAAGCTTTTGTTTGTAAAAGTTATTTGTTGTTATTGATTCGGTTTCAAGTCCGAATATGTCTGTGTATTTGGTGCATAGATCTTTTAATTGAGATTTGAATAAAGGCGGGAAGTTTTTGGTTAATTTACTCATAACGAATTCATCTCTTCCTTCGTTATTTCCTTTTATTATATCATAATTATGCAAAGTTTCATATTTAATATTATTTAAGCTTACAATTTTTGTGGCATTCGTTGTATTTATTATACGGACAAAAGTATTATTGTGGTCGGATATCGTGTTTGCGATATAAATTCCTTCTTCAATTTCTTGATTTAATATCAGAATTTGATTTTTTGCTGAGGGAATTTGTATTTCTCGGACAACTTCGGACCGTGCGGGGAGCACTGTGGCATTACTTTCACAAGAGTGAAGTATTTGCAATTCAATTGAACAATTTAAGTTGTCTGGACGAAGAATTAGTGAGTCGCCTCTTTGAGTGAAATCTAGTTGGCAATTGTATTGTTTTATGAAGTCAATACCTAGTATGCCATCGCAAGGTATTGGGAAACTTTGGTCGACTAAGTAAAAGTCGTGTGGGATGATATATTTGCCATTAGTGAGTTCTACACTGGCTAAGCCTGTTGAAGATATGGTTCCTTCGCCTATTCCCGATATTTTGGTTTGTACTTTATCATTGATTATCTCAAATTTATCTATATTATCTTTTAATATAGATATGTCTGCACCAGTATCAAGTAACAGAGTATAACTTTTGCGTGTACTTTCATTTTTTATTTTTATAAAAATGCTTAGATTAAGGTTGACGGTTTTTATAGAGCTAGTTGTTTGCTCTAAATATCTGAAGGGTTTGTCTGGTTTTCCGAATTGGTTTGAGCCAATCGGACATTGTTCTGGTTGTTACGGTTTGACCCGTTGTTGTTTCCGTTGCGGTTGTTTCCGCCACGGTTGTTTCCTCTGTTGTTGTTATTGTTGCGGTTATAACCGTTGTTTTGGTTATTTTGATTATTTTGGTAGTATTGGTTATAGCCGTTATTTCGGTAGTAACCCCGGCTATTACCTCTACCGCGATAATTATTTCTGTAACTATTACCGCGATAGCTACCTCTTTGTGCATACAATATAGTGTTGGCGTTACCCGTCATCTCAGTACTACATTGTATATACTTTGTGACGGCTTCATTCATGGTCGTGAAGTTGCCAGCTTCCAATATTGTCTTTAATCTGCCATGCTCACAATTTTTGACCATTGTGGTGATGGCTTCCTTTGTACTGAACTTATCAGCATGTTCAGCTGAAAGTCCTTCATCTATATATGAAGCTTCTAGGAGCTTCCGTAGGTTGTCGATATCTGTTGTAAACTTCTCGGCAGTTTTGCCTTTCTGGACAGTCTTGGCCATTTTGGCCTTTATTACATCGGATGTTTCGCCGACTACTGTGTCCTGAAGTTTTTTGATTATGTCGTTTATGGTTGTCTCGTTTTGAACCCTATATAATGTGGATCCAACAATTTTAGACTTAATAACTTCAACGGCGATGTGCTCAAATGTCCCCTTTGTTAGATTGACTAACTTCAAGGCTGTTACGAATCTTTGTAGATGTAACTTCTGGCCATTGAATTCTGGGATGGCACTAGAGATTTCTTTGATATATGCCCTTTGGGCAATTGATTCATCGGCCATGGTTATTGTGTTATTTAGTTTGTTTTCCTCTGAGTTGCCTGAAATGTCTGAATCTTCTGATTCTAGATCAGTATAAGTTGCCGGAATAGTTAGATTGTTCAAATCTTCTTCTTCAATTTTCGGGCTTACTTCAGGCGGCTCCTCTGACTCTTCCTCGTTTGTTTCTGTCGATTCAGGGTCAGGTGCAGTTGAGACTGCTATTGGTGTTGTCAATACGGTTGGTACCGATATTTCCAAACCGAATTTTTGTTTGATGGATATTAAATTAGATCGTAGACGTATCAGAAGTTTAGATACTTGTGTCCAATGATCTTGGGTCAACCTATCTTTATGCTCATATATTAGTATGCGTGCTTCATTAAAGCACTCTATCAATATTTCGACGTGTTTCCTGACGGTGTTCTTCTGGATTGGTCTGTTTTGAGCTAAGGATTTATAAGACCTGTCAAAATTCGATTTTATGTCTCCTAATTCTTTAAAGATTGTGTTCCAATCCATTTAGCCATTGAAAAAGGAAGGTGTATTGTTTGTGTTGTTGTGTTGTTTTATTGAAAATGTGGATTTTAATTATTGAATATGTTAGTTTTTAATCATTGTTGTTATTATATTGCCTAAATCTTATCCAGGTCATTTCCCCGGCTTATGTATTTCTTTTTTAGGCACCTGCTGTGCAGTTTGTAAATTTTATAAAAGAAATTAGCGCACATGACAACAACAATGATTATTAAAAGAATATGGACCCAGTATAAATCTATGTTACTGGACTCTACTTTGTTGATGACATTGGCAGTGGAGTCCACTGTTTTTATATCCAAAGTCATTTTTCTGGGTTTTGTGTAAAATTCTGTTGCGTGTGTATGAAGTGTTTTATTAAAATTATTCAGATCTTCTATTGAAAGTTTACTGATTTCATTAAAATTGTTATGGTTTTCTATTGAAAATTTACTTATCGCATTACTGCGCATCTAAATTAACAATTTTCCTGCCTAATTTTTCGCATAGCTTTACAGGCTACACTTCTAATCGGACAGAAAGGGTTCCGCTCAATTTTACAAGGTGGGTGTAAAAAAAAGGTGCATCGCAGTACACTCGCAAAAAAATATGCAACGCAGTGCAAAGTTTTGTATATTCTGCTTCTCCGGAGCCCAGTGTCGTCCGCGTCAGCTGGTCGTCGCCGGCCTGGCTTCGCTGACGCTCCCTCGAAGGTGTAAGAGGCGGCCTGCCCCTCACACTTGTGCTATCGGCTGCTGCTGTCCAGGGCCTATGAGCTCAGGCGATACCGGTGCTGGTCTTCGCACAGGTTATTATTCAGCTGCAGTTGTCCTGGGCCTATGGGCTCAGGCGGTACCGGTGCTGGTCTTCGCACAGGTTAATTATTTTGCTTCATGCATGTATATTTGCATTCAGCGGTGTAGAGGGGTCCTGGGCAGTCGGCCGGACAGGTTTGTTGTTTTTCCGGGGTTGGCTTTCGAAGTGGAGGTTTGGTTATATCACTGTGTGTCGTTTTTATACGTTTAGTGGCGGTGCAAGTTGTTGCTGGTCTTTTCTGTGCCGGTCTTTTCACTTCCGTTTTCAGGAAATCTAATTCTTCTTGCAATTTCTGGGCTGCAGCCCACGGCGGTGGTGGCTCGTTGGTATACAAAAGCCACTTTAACTGGGCTATTCTCTTCTTCATGCGATTTTTCACGCCAGCCCTTTTCATAACGCACTATTGCTGATTATCACTGTTTTTAGGTCGGTATAGCACGACTTCCATGTCGTAGTAATAATGAATAAATTCCTCATGGGCAGAGTCGACTGCTGTTCCCAGATTTCTTCCCGCGATGCACTGCCAATTTCCTCCGTGGTGTGTGTTAAAGTAAGCCCTTACTTCCAATGCGATGTCTTCAGTGTCTGTAACACCTCTGTCGATAATTCCGAACATTACCTCAAACGCATCCCATTCCAAGAATGCGGGGAAATTGCCCTTTATAACCCCTTGGGGCTTAGGGTATGACATTGTTTTTCTGTTAGTTCACTTTCACTATCTTTTTGCAGGTTCACTATCACTTGTCACGGTCGCCATGAAATAAGTTTGTTCCGCCAACCACAATTCCTCCCAAGGATAAGTCCTGGAGTTTTAGTTTTAAATTATTTTGAATGATTTTATTAGAACTTGATATTTTGGTTTTTATCTTGGTGCGGCCATGGTGCCGCTCCAGGGTTCAACAGTTGGTTTATAGGTGCAGCTATGATACCGCTCCAAGGCTCCAAGAGTTAGTGATCTTACAGTATTCCTTAAGTTATAATATAAGCTAGGTCTCGGAGCTGCGCTGCTCACAGGCGGCGGCAGAGAGACGGTTATGTATAAGTATTCTTATGTATAAGTAAATGTACTTATGTACATTGGCTATGCGCTCACGAGTGGAGGCGCGAGGGGGTATGCGCGTGTAGTCCATTCGATGCAAATATGCCGACACTAGCACTTTCTGAGTGCAGGCTAAGCCTTAGCGATCGGTTCATATTTCGGCCACTCAATGTTTATGACCGGGACTTTGAATTGTGTAAACACTGCAACATTGTATTACAGTGGGCACTCTTTAAGTACTCTGGGTACAGTGCGTATTCAATATGTGTGCATACTACACCTGGCTGATTTGCGAAATGGGTGACATTTGTTTGTTGTCCCATAGCTAGTGGCAGAATGAGTAACATTGCCAGCAGTGTTGGAAGGATCGAAGGTGACACCTTCCTCTTCTGTGTTGGCATTTCTTCCGTTGACGTTGTGCGTGGAACTGTGAGGACGTTTGACGGCTGTTTCTTCGTTTAACAGTGGCGCAAGACGAGTTACTGACCGTTTGTCTTTACATCTACTACTCGGACATGGTTGTCCTTATCGGGATATGTCTTCACTAATAGTCCTATTGGCCAACCCATCACAGGCACGTTGTCTTCCTTGACTAGCAAGTAGTCCTTCCTTCACGTTTTGTTATGTGGTTTTCCACTTGTTGCGCATCTGAAGCTCTTGTAGAAATTATGTTTTAACTGTGTGACCCGCATTGTTCCTCGCCGCTGTCAGTGAGGGTAAGGGGTGACGATCCAAGTGCCACCGTGGCTGGTTCCGGGTAGGAGGTGATGACTCAATTGCCACCGTGGCTGGCCGTTCTTATGTCTGAGCTGGGCGGTTGCCGCTGGCTCTTTTCTCTCTCCAATTTAGGAAGATTACGTCGGGAGTAACTAACATCGTTGCTAACGGCCCTTAAGGCACGATAACCAATGTCATTTAATAAAATATGTGTTGACGGCCAATGCCGGAGTTTTATATTCAAGCAAATGCTCTTTATTGAATGTCCAAATTAAAACTGAAAATATATATGAATTTACGTAAGCTATGTGCGGCCGGTAAGCCGACCGCTCGTGCAGCTAAGTGCTGACACTAGCAAAATCAACATAACTCACCATACCGTGCACCAATAGGAACCAGGCATGGCCCATAAAGATGTTTATGCTGATTTTGCAACTAAACACTAGGGTGATCCAATAATCACCCAAGATCTGTATCGACTTATAATTACTCCTTAACAGTGTTAACATAGATACTCCATAGACCACTGGTCCCAGAACATTTGCTTTAATCTGGACACTAATTCCCATATTTTCACCAACGTTTTCCCTGGTGAGGCTAGATTTGCATCGGGAGCGGCGGTCAAAGGTTCACCAATAAAAAGAATGGCCAGGAGTCAGAGCTGTTGTATCCATTGGATCAGATGACATCGGTGTCAGCCGTCGAGAGTTAAGGATTGCTTCGACTTCCACAATTACGGTGTTAAGCTCCTCAAATGTTAATGAAGCTTTGGCTATGGCTGATACTAGCAGCCGCTTCGCAGATTTTATCGCAGCTTCCCAAAGGCCGCTCGGGGCGGTATGATTTTAAATTCCACTTGCTTTTTATTGCAATGGTTTATAATCTGCTCTTGAGCCTTGTCGGTGAAGATATCTTCCTCTAAGGCCTTCAACTGATTGTTGGCACCGACGAAGTTTGTTGCATCTGTTGTCAAGTCACTTACTAACTCCACATGTACTGCCTTTGTTGCGAAACAGCAGAAGACTGCAATGTTAGCCTTATCAGGTCTTTTTCCACAGAGTTTGTGATGAATCCAAATCGGTCCACAGAAGTCAACACCAGAGTGAAAGAATGGCCGAGCTTGTGTTACTCGGTCAGCTGGTAGGTTGCCCATGATTTGTTGCATTAACTTGAGCCGTGCCGTCGTACATCTGACACAGCTGTGAATAATGCTTTTTGCCATTGTTTTATCATTGAGAATCCAATATTGTTATCTGGCAATGGCTCTCAGAGATTGAGCCCCGCAATGCATGTTCTCTTCATGCATCTCTCGCAACAGTATCTTCACAAGTGGATCGTTGTATGGAAGCAAAATTTGTTGCTTTGCGTTACATGGAAGGATAGATTCTTCTAATCTACCTTCGACTCTGATCAGTCCGTCATTTTCTATTATAGGACACAGGGAAACAATCGAGCTCTTTTTGTCCACCGTTTTGTGGATATGGAGTTTTTTGTACTCAGCACTAAAATCAATTTGCTGGATATTCCGCAGGATGATGGTCCTTGCATTGGTTAATTCACCGACACACAATGTAGTTGTGGGTGATCTGTTTCTCTTATTACAGAACCGCATCATATATGCTACAATACGTTGTAGCTTATTAAAGGAGTTGCTGTGGTTGCACTTTTAGAGTATACTACCAATTTCATTTTGACATGTTGGCAATCTTATTTGGTTGAGCCTGCGTTCTAGATCGCTGGGGGTGGTGGTTGGTACCTAAGACCATTTGTCGCGAGAGCCATGTAGAAATAGAGGTCCATATAGCCAGAGATTGTGTTCTGCTAACTTGCTGGCGGCAATTCCTCTTGAAAGTACATCTGCTGGATTGTTAACCCGTGACGCCACTGAGATTGGTCTGAAACAGCTTGGATTTTTGCGATCCGATTTGTCACGAACGTATGATATGATGACGCTGATGCGTTTATCCAGGATAGCACCACAGTTGAATCTGACCATAAGTATTCAGGTACCTTATCGTTAGGTATACGTAAATCCTTCTGCACCCTGTGGGTTAGCTCCGCTCCCAAGACTGCGGCGCATTATTCCAGGCGAGGCCACGTATCTTTTGCTGTTGGCGCTACTCTTAGCTTTGAGCATAGTAGCCGGACAGCCACTTGATTGTTCTTATATGTGGCTCGGACATAGATTGCCGCTCCGTATGCCCGCTCTGACGCATCGACAAATGTGTGAAGTTCCTGGTTAATGGGCACCTTTCCGTCAAAGATGTGCCGTGGAATTTGTAGATTGTTCAGTGCTTCCAGATCAGCACGATAATTTTTCCAGAAGTTAAGGAAGGTCTTCGTCCCAGACCATCTTCAGCTCCCACAGGCTTTGCACGAATATCTTAGCCTTTACCACAACAGGAGCGAAAAGTCCTAGTGGATTGAAAATTTGTGACGCCTCTGAGCTCACCACTCGTTTGGTGATAATTGACACTTCGCTTTTTTGGGATCGCCCACATAACTGATCCTTATGTGGGATCCAGAGCAAACCCAACGTTTTAACACTGTAGTATTGAAGGGTTACGTCTAATTTGACGTGGTTGACAATGTCTTCCTTTGGAATTTGTGTGAGAACTTCATCATTGTTGGAGCACCACTTTCGGAGCTTGAATCCGGATGGTAGCAGTATTTTGTTTACCTCTTGTTGAATTTGAACTGCTTCTGAGATGCTATTTGCTCCTGTTAGACAGTCGTCGACATAAAAATCATTCTTGAGCACGGATGCTCCAAGCGGTAAATTCTTCTTGGTTTTCTCAGCCAAGTAATCCAAGCATTTTGTAGCTAGGAACGGAGCTGATGTTGTACCGTATGTTATGGTTTTAAGTCGATAATATTTGAGTTCGTCTGATGGTTTCCTTCGCCAAACGATTAATTGATGAAATTGATGATCAGGGTGTATCCATACCTGGCGATACATTTTCTCTATATCGGCTGTAAACACGTACTTGTGAGTGCGGAAGCGTAGCAAGATTGTAAACAGCTCGCTCTGTACGGTGGGTCCGGCACACAAAATACCATTTAACGATTTCTTGCTTGTAGTTTTGTAATGCTGCTTTCGGGTTTTAGCACACAAAGGTGTGGGATAAAATAGTGATCCGTAGGTATCCTTGTGGGAGGCACTTCTTTCATGTGTTCAAGGCCTTCATACTCCTTCATAAAATCTACGTAACCTTTCCGGACTTCAGGTGACGTTCTGCGCTCTAGTGACAGGAACCTGTTGGTTGCAACTTTCTGCGATGCCCCTAGGGCTGATGGTTGCTCAGAAAAAGGGAGTTTTACAATGAACCTTACATCTGCTGCGATTTGCAGATTTCCTAAGAAGTGTTTTTCGCAATGAGCCTCTATCGGTGATTGGGGTTTATCTTCTGTGTCTAGGCTTACCAAAGACCAAAATTGATCCAAAAGTGTGTCGATTTGGTCCTCTGTAGTTTGGAGCTACCCAAATTGTTGCTTGGTTGTGTTCTGCAGATACTTTTGCAGCGACAATCCAACCAAGTTTAGTATTGTGAAGAACCGGGCCGCATGGCTTTAACATCATCTGGTTTGGCAGTAGGGATGAATAGTAATGAATAGTAATGCTCAGCTCTGATAAGCATGTCAATCTTTCCTGGTTTATCGAAGTTTGCATGTGCCAGAGCGATGTTTTAAGGGAGTAGTAGACTTGTTGAATCTAACTGATGGGCCCGTTGATTAGATATAATGTGTGGTGACACAAAGGCCTCGAATTGCTGGGTAATGTCGTTATGCATTGATTTCATTAGCACATTCACTCTAGCTCGGCTAGTCTTTGGATTGCCTCCTATACCTTCGATACGTTATGAAGTACCGTGGAGTTTTAATGATAGCTTTGAAGCCATTCATTCAGATATCAAGTTTATTTGTGATCCTGAAAAAAGCAGAGCTCTGAATGTGGCCACCTGACCATTGCTTGCATTTCTGACACCTTGACTGTGGCCAGCAGATTGTAACTCTTGTTACTTGCTGCCCCTACAGAAGGTGATTGTGGTTCAGTTGCTGCACCTGATGACGTTTCAAGATGCAGCAATGTATGGTGTTTTTTATCGCATTTAAAACACATACGGTTTTGGCGTTCCTTTGCCTTGTGGTTGCTGCTGAAGCAGTTGACACACAGTCGTTGTTTTTGTACCCAATTGAGTCGATCGGCTATTGGTTTATTACGGAAGTCATCACATTTGTATAGCCAATGATTCCGTTTGCAAAATGGACAGCTTGGTAATTTTCCAGCGCTTGCAGAAGTGCATGTTGGTCCCTTCTGATCCCTTTTTGTCTGGTTGACTTCCTGTTCCCAGTACGCGAATTCTTTGGTCGAGGAAGTTAAGTATTGTGTCGAGACCTTGCAGTTGTCGAGAACCATCCAACGACTGTTCGTACAAGGCTCTATTAGCAATATCCAATTTTTGCTTGATGATAGCAATCAATATTGTATCCCAGCTGGATACATCATTTCCTAGTCCCCTTAATGATGCCAGGGACTCGATAGTTGTTATATACAACTCTTTCAGTGATTTCGGATCGTCACTATTTGTGTGGTGTTGCAAGAGACGATTAAGAATCGTGTCGGCTACGTGTCGGGGATTGTTGTATTCGTCAACCAATATGCCCCATGCGCTTGTGTAGTTTTCTTCTTTTAGATCGATGTGTCTTATCAATCTCTCTGCCTCTCCAGTTACGGTGGTTTTTAGATACCACATTTTCCGTACAGTCGGCATGTTGGTGTCATGGACCATGCATTTGAATAAATAAGAAAACGGCGTCCATTTGAGTAGATCCCCATCGAATTTGAGGATGCTAACTCTGGGCAAGTGTACATCTTCATTGCTCGATGCTGTAATATTAACATCAGTTTCCTCCAGAAATAAGTAGGCAGGTTCTCGAGTGGGTTTTTATTGATTATTATTTTATTAATTCTTCAGATTAGGTTTGGTCAATGTTACATTCAGTTTCTTGGTTTGGTCGGAGCAACCATTGTTGTCCCTCCGAACTCTCATTTATGTGTGTCTTAATCAATATGGATTTAAAGCTAGGGAAGTTTAAGTCCCTTAGCTGCGCTGCCAACAGCGGCAGCAGAGAGTCATATATATTCTTAAATATTCTTAAATACATAGCTATGCTCTTTTGGACTGAGCGCGGAGGTATATGCACATACATACATGTGGTCCGCTCGTGTAGCATTTATGCTGACACTTGCATTCTTTGTGAGCGGCCAATATATACATAAGTGGGTAGTGTTACAGTGTGTACCCGCTAAGTATAGTGGGTACTCAATATATGTGCATACTACAATGCATTATTTTTTGCCCCTAACACCTTTTGGATGTCCTTTTCCAGTCGGAGAAATGACTGCATGTCGTATCCTCCCTTGACCGGGTCTTCGTGTTCTTCATAAACAGCGAAGTGGATCTCTTACACTTGTGACCATAGTGATTTTATCAAATCATTTGTAATGGTTTTTCCAGTCTCTGAAAATTCTTTCAGAGACCGATGGATAGAGTCTGATATGGCTCTT